CACGTGACACTGCGTGACACCGCGTGATACCGCGACACGCCCACCGGGGTATGCCGCGAAATACCCCACCCATTTTGAATGGCTGCATCTGTATAATGTAATACCTATCAAACTGAAACTCCCAGGACGAGCCATCTCCTTTGCATTCAAGTCATTTCAGTTTGCATGTGTTAATACTGTTATCTAATGTTAGGTTATTTTATTTTTAGTTGATAGAATTTAGTTGATTCTATTATTATTTTAGTGATAACATCAGGAATAAAATCGGGGTAAGCCTCTTAGCCAAGACCCAAAATACAATTAATGTGTGTTGTTAAATAAAGTATATATTAATAATCTGCTTAGCAGATGCTTAAATAGAAAATGCATTATGTATATACAAAAAACAATCATACCGGTATGATAAGGTAATGTGAATAAATTATTAAAATGTCATTAAAGCTAAAACATACTGATGTACAACGTACATGCAAGCAAACAAAATATTTGGTATTGTATAAGCAAATTCTCACCGAGAATCTCAGGCCATCCATTTGTCACTTGTAAGCAACATTTAAGCAAATAATGGTTTGAAATTCTATCTGTTCAGTTCTTTACTTTCAAGCTCATATTGATTAATTCCAATCTAAAGTCTAGATCTGGTTTTCTTTATTATTATTTTATTACAATAAATTGTGTTTTGCACATTTATATATGCATACATTAATTTACAGTAAATAATTGTTCTTCCAATCATGAACTATGGTAATTTAGTTTAAATAATTGCTCATAAGATTTATAACAGACACTCCATTCTACACTCATCATTGTGAATAAATTAAGAAATTGACATTAAAGCTAGCACATTGGTCAAAGGCTCTGTCTAAACCAATGAGTCTTGAACAGATTCCAAAGGGTGGTTAGGGACTGATCAGTTCTGAAGAAGTTCATCTTCTGTGAATGGTTCAGTCCATCACTGAGGATTGAGGGCGGAGAATGGAGATCGGGTACAGAAAGTAGCAGTAAGATGGAAGTTGGGGATACAGAGAGAGATGAAAGAGTAAAGCTTTGAAGTAATTGAGACAGTTTTGGACTTTGAGTTGGATGTTTGGAGGCAGGGAGGAAGCCAGTGGAGAGCCTAGAGTCATGAAGTAACAAGAAAAGCAAGCAAAAGAAAAGATTTGACAAGCTGCAAAATTCCGGATGGGTTGGAGTTGGTAAATGACTTTGGCAAGGCATCTGGTCATCAAGATGTTGCAGTAGCCCAGATGGGAGAGTACTAGGAACCTAAGAGTTCTTATGTAAATTTGTGGGGTGCACTGTATTTTTTTAAGATGATGTTTAGCACTTTTACATACATGTATTGTGTATGTAAATATACATTTAAGTTTCCTAATAAACCTCTAACAATAGACTGCAATAAAAATCCATATCTCATACAAATCTTTGCATGAGAAGTCTTTAAGAATCATGCATGGATTCACAAGCGTATGTAAACAAAAATGGTAAGGGTAATTTCAGGGTTTGAAGAGCTTATCCTTGAAGAATATCTTATGCAGAAATGTTTCCTCCTGAACCAAAGTTATAAATTATAGCCATTTGACTGTATTTCAAAATGCTGGCTAGACATCAGCAAAGCTCAATATATTTTGCTCAATTTGGCTAAAAGATTTTCACAAACTCAGATTGACTTCGTATAATACTGATGTTTGTTTTACACATTTTTTAGTGGTAACAATTTGTAATCTAAATTAATTTTAGGTAAATATTGGTGAAAGTAGAATTATTATTTTTCAGTGTTTGAATTTATGTCAATTGCTTAACCATTACATTCAATTTCTTGTCATTATTTTCATTAAAGGCTTTATCTTTTTCTCTTTAGGATGGGAGGAACTGTATCTGCCTACAAAATTGTTCCAGATGAAATAGATGAAATTAAGGTAATGGGATATTTATTTTCCATTCTAGTATAAACTGTTTAAATGTTTACTGATAACTGTTTATTGTTTTTTTCTGGGAGTCAGGGTGGCATTGACAGTAGTCTCAGTGTCCTCAATTTTACAGTCTACACTTGACTCTGGACCTGGACTAACGAATAGATGGATGCAGCAAATGTGTTTCTGTGCCATTAGGGAGTTCACTTCATTCTAGAGCTGCACACAAACCTGCGTCTTTACATTCACTGCTTCAAATACCTTAATTTGCAAAAATTGTATTGGTAATGAACGATTCAAAAAATGCACCTCAGCCTTACAAGATTAACTGGGTCATACTAAACATTAAACTTTAAACACATTCTGTTTTTTTTGCTCCTTCTTTAAGTGATGAAAAGAAGCAAGGCAAATGCTACAGCTATAGTAACATGGTGATAATTTGTTACATGAGACATTAATCATTTAACTTTACTTAGATATCCAGCATTTCAATAAATATCAGATGCTGGAAAGTGTTATCCACTGCACATACTGTGAACATTGAAGTTTTCAGAAAACATGCAAATGAATAGCATTTCTTATTAACACACAAGTGCTCTTTTCAAGTACCAGCAAAAGTATCAATATAGAGGTAAAATGAGATTTCAGAATTGTCATTTTTCTTAGTTGGTCCGCAAAGGCTGAGGTCTTTGCAGAAGCAGAATTAACCAAATTGTAAATGTGCTTTTATGTTTTTGACAGGAAAAATAGAGAATAGGAATTTAGGAATACTCTGCTTGGTCAGAGTAATGGGGATGTCTGAATAGTCCTACTGAGCTAAAAAGGGAGAAGAGTAGCTTTCTCAAAGGAAAAGGCAACATACTGTACTGTATGTGATGTGTTGTGTCTGCATTTTACTTCAGCTGCTCACATCACAGTAAGAGTTCTTGTTAGTATTTACTGGTGCACACAACTCATTCTGTCATACACCCTTGTCAGAGTATCAGCACTGACTTGTCTGTCATGGAACATATGAATGCTTGATACTTTTCTTTTCCACTCACCTTTCAAGCTTATCTAATATCATTACAGTGGGACAGTAAGATTCCAACGATTTTCAAAGACCTTTTTTGAATCAGAGCTTAAGAGAAGTAAAATGGGATAGGGTGGATATAGTATTAAAACAGTGGAAGATAGATGGCAAGTTTTAATTTACAATACAGAAAAAAATATCCAAAAGGTAAGTAAATCAAAAGCTATAAAACAATAACCAAAATGGTTCAACAAATCAATTAGGAAAAATATAAGTGAAAAGGCACTTTATAAAATGATTGAAAAACATCTGGATCCAGTTTTAAACGTATACTGCCTTGCAAATACGTTTATTTTTAACAATATTAGAAAGGTCAAGAAAGAACATTGAAATGGGGATTGAAATAAGTTCTTTCAGTACTACAAAGAGCAAAGGAACTGTCAAGCATGACAGCATGAAAATATATGTGAGAAGAAGTGTCTATATAATGAAAGGAAAATGAGTGATGTATTAAAAGGAAATTTTCTCAGATTTAGTAAAACGTCCACAGAAAGGACAGAATTCTGTATTGGATAGTACCAGTATAGAAGAGAGAAAAATGTTTTTGGTACAAGAAACACTTAGGATTAATAAATCCTGATGTATTTTATCAATTGTACTTAAGTAACTGCAAGATGTTATTCAGAAGCAATTGACACAAACAAATGACACAATTGGCCAACTGTCTCATAAGGCAAGGGTAGTACCTAAGAGACTGGAGAATTGCTGAAGTATTGTTCTACAATACAACAATCATGAACTGTGAAACACGAACCAGAGGATACAAGTGGAAAGTACAGATGCAGCCATTCAAAGTGCACGGTACACACACGTACCGGAGGTAATTGGCTAGTTTAAATAATTTTCGTAGTTAGAAATTATGGAACGCTCTGTTAAAAGCAAGGGAGTTTTTATGTCCGTTGCAGTTTTTTTGCAACATGAATATAATTTTATCGTTATCAATTTCTTTAGATACGCGATTCCATATTATATTCCCTTTTAATCAAATTCTAAAAGTATGCTTGTTGACTCAACTATCACGTTAGTTAAAGAGTTCGATGCTTAAAATGTTTAGGGAGAAATGGAATACTGGTGTGTATGTTTTCTTTAAAGTACCGAGACCAGCCATATACTGTATGTTTAAGTTCCAAAATTAATATTGTTTATGGCCTTCACACATGTTGCAGTATGCTCCTATTCTTTTTATGCTCAGCTACTAAGATTTCCCTTCAGTGGTAAAATTCCATATAAATATTTGATACTTAAACAGGCACAGTTAAGACATTAAATATACATATACATACTGTATACAGTACAGTTTGCAAACGGTAATATGTTTATGTTCCTAAATCAATCTCTTTTATGAGCATGTGAAAGGCATGGTGAATCGATTCTCAAAAATTACTGTACATGATTGGAAACAAATGCGTGATTGCGAAATGCTGTGGTGTTACTTTTACAAAGACGGTCAATGAAAAAAAGAATGTGGACCAGGGCAATACTTTGAGTTTACAGCTTGTCCAAGGTCATTCATTATTAATACTATTAGTAATATCTTCGTTAAAGACTTTGATGGCGACAACACAAACATGAGAGGTTGAGCTTTATTAGCTCCACCTTGCGGAAATTCCGGATACTATTATTTTGCTTGCGGTATTATAGGAGAATTTACGGTAACTAGCGGTATTTACCGGTAACTCGCGGTATTTACCGGTAACTCGCGGTATTTACCGGTAACTCGCGGTAGACTGCGTACAGCGCACCGGAAAATAATGCGGTATCGCCCGCGCATTTTGAATGGCTGTATTTGGAAGCGCATTTAAAACTGAGAAGAGGTGGTACTTCTTGGCCCAAAAGGTTATGGTAGTATGGAAAGTACCGTAGCCATGTTGATGAAGCCACTGATTTCTTTGATAGACTCTGTTTACTTTCAAGAATGGCTGTAAGAGATATTTGTATGAATTAATTTTCTAACTACCAAATGGGCTAGATGGGCTTAATGGCCTCATCTCTTTTGTAATATTTATTTCCTTGGGTTCTTCTATGAGAATTGCTGATATAGTGCCCATTCTTAAAAAGGGTGAGAAAACCTTATAGACCAATAAGTCTGTCTTCTGTTACATGTAAATGAAAATGCAAATGAAATTAATATTTTTTATAAAACTCCATGACTGAGCAAACAGATGGCATATTGTGGTCAATTTAGACAAATGCAGTGATTTTCTTGCATGTAGTAAAAAATAAAATATGCATATGAATGGGAAATGCTGAGCTAGAAGAGGCTACATATAAAAATACTTTGGTAATTGTTGACAGGTCATTTTCATCTTATAGACAAATAAAAAGCAAATAAAAAGGCAAACAACATTCTGGGCTATACTGCATAGCTAAAAGTGTAGAATTTAAACTAAGTGATATGTTAAAATTGTCTAACACACTATTTAGGCCTCACAGAATATTGTGGAAGATGTTGGTCATTATAGAAAGACTTTTCTGCTCTGGATTCAGTCCAGAGCAGAGCATTTAAATCCATTTCAGGGCTTAAGGGAAGACTGGCAGGCTGAAGGGTATTGAACCTTTCAAAGTCTTAAAAAAATAACTATGATACAAGTGTTCAAAATGAACTGTGAAACAAACCAGAAACAAGCACAAATATGGGCACAAGCAAAAAATATGGTTTATGGTTTCTTTCAAGAAACATGTGTAAGAGATCTTTGACTCAATTAATTTATAATTACCAAAATGGGCTTTATGGACCAAATGGCCACCTCTCATTTGTAATATTTAATATTTGTAAAATGTATTTTCTTAAGCTCTTGAGGTTGCCAAATGATAGGTTGTAACAAATTCAGGGAATTTTGGTGTTACTGTGCTATTGACTTGTCACAATTGATAGTGTGGTGCTGTCAGCTTCTAAACTAAACTAAGATAAATTTTCTTTGAGACATCTACGACTTTTTGTGTATAGACGTGCTTCTTGTTCTCTAAGTGCATAACCATATCATCTTGCATAATAGTATCTTTGTTTTCTTTGTCGTGTTATCTAAAGAATCCAAAAGTGATGTTAGCCACATAAAGAAGAAAATTGTAAGGTATTATACAACAAATGCCTTACAACAAAGTGGTGTTGAAGTGAAGTGCCATTAACTATATTTCTATTTTAAATCTATAATTGATCAGAAAAAAATGGCATTTCATTTTCAGACAAAATTAATTATTCTTATAATGCTAACAAATAACAGAAAACTATAGATCTGATCAAGTGATCAAGCAGGGGATGTGGAGCTCATGTGCTTTATGTCCTCTATGGTGTATTATTTTTACAGTAGATGAGCTGTGGGAAGAACATAAGATTGAGTGGGCTAACATAGGCAGTGATGTGTACACTAACAACAGGGATTTTTATTGAGAAAAGTTTTATTTTCTAAAAAGTAAGTGTTATTTCATGTTTGTTGCTTATGTTGGTTTAATCTTTTCTTAGTTGGATTTAAGTAAGATTTTGAAGCTGTCTTTTTTATTACTTAAGACACAGCTTGACGCTGGTAGTGTATTTTTTCTTACCCATTCAGCTTCAGTAGATACATTATTCTTTATTGCCACACAATAAAAGTTGGTGGAATTTGCTTTCGGTACAGAAAAGAACACAGATAAGACATACATACAACATATACAGTACAAATATAAATAGGACAGAAGACAACCAAGAATCGTCACATACATATGTAAACAACTTTCCATGTAGCAGAATATTTATACAATGGAATTCAGATTTCATCATGAATTCTGAGTTCGTATGTGGGAAAGCAGCTGAGGTTGAAGTGGGCAGTCCTTGAGAGGAAGGATTTGAAACGTTTTCCAGAAGGGAGAAGCTGAATAAGATTATGAGCTGGATGAGAGGGGTCTGAGATGATTTTCTTGGCATGATTGGAGATACGGCTTGAATAGAGAGATGAAA